ATAGCCATAAGGCTATCCTAACTATAAAACAAGGCCAGGTACTAATAACAGTATTTAGAAAATTGGGTAGACTAGATGGGCCGAATCGTTCTTATCTGCCGTTACATTCTATGTTTCTATAAATTATAAAATATGATGAAAAATGTAAAACACACTTTTTCTAACTTTGACCCCAAAAATCTGTTACGCATCTTCAACTGCCAAAAAAAACACCCATGCTAAATAGTTTCTAAATTTTGTCCTGAGTTTAGAAATACCCAATGTTAACATCATTTTGGAAAATAATAGGGCAATAAGTACAAATAGCACTTTGCTATTTCCAAACCATTTTTTTTTTCAAAATTAACAAAAGTTACATTGTAACACTAATATCAGTCAGGAATCTCGGAATCCCTGAATAACCCTTCAAATGTATATATTTTTTAAAAGAAGACAACCTAAGGTATTAATATTTAAAGAAACCAGTGCTTATAAATGTAATAGTCTTATAAACCTTATATAAAAACAAATAAAAATACAGCTGCTAAAACATTCCAATGACTCCTTCCAACATCATACCTTAAATACAGTACAAAACATATGAATGTAGCGCTTATTAAAAAGAAATAGTAAATCACCTTTTGGAGCGATTTAAATGTAGATAATGTGAATGTCTCGCTTAGATATCTGTAAAAGACAATCTAACATAGTATAGGTCATACAATAAAAAATAGAAGGCAAGTTATAAATATTTAAACTCACAAACGTGGAGCTATGGGCCCAGCTCCAGGTTAAAACGACTTTGGATCCGTTTAGGCGATCCACCCCTATAAGTGATGTTTTCCTTTTAATCCTAAAAAACACAACAGGGGGACCACCAATAGCGCAGTATTGTTTGCATATAATTTTAAGAATATGAAATTCCAAAATTAATACTCATAATGTTGGAGTCATAAACATATGACTCAATGTAACCCGCACTGTGCAGATTATGGACTGCACTCCTTCTTAATAGAGAAGTAAAAACTGTAACCAAATGATATAAAAATAAAAGAAACCATTTATTACATATACATACAAAATTTCCAAAATGCCTATATCGGTTGTAAAAGACCGGCACGCGTTTCGCCAAATTGAATTGGCTTCCTCAGCCGGATAAAAATGGTAAGTTTCCACAAAGTCTCCTCGTCGGTTTTAAATCCTCTCAAATCGGCGGGTAAATGCTCGGGTCCAATTCCCGTCACACGCTAGTGCCGCCCACTAGCACAGCGTGTGCGGTCCATGCCTCCTTTTCGTTACGGTACTCACAGGTACCGAGATGTTGTTTTCCTGCTTGCTTTCTCTCTGATGTATGGGAGTGTCTTCTCTCCCTTTTAGTTTCTCCGTTTCCAAGTTCACTTTATAAGGTTTTTTTCCTCCTTAATTCAGCGATAATCCGTATAATGGAAATCGGCAGAAAAAAGAAAGAAAAGCGCAGTATCAGTCCATAAAAGAAAAATACCTTATTCCAAATCACATTAAAAATAAAAATAAACATAATAAAAATCATAAAGTGCACATCATCATTCATTTGTAGTAAAACTTGCAAAATACAGGTCTTTTATAAGTTTGATGTTAAAACACATATTGTTGCAATACTGTTGCAGAGATACATTTGCAAATAGTAACTTATATCAATCCCATTTCACATTGCTTATCATACAGTTACAATTTTATCATTGTCTCAGATTAGTTCAAACTCCATTTAGTTTATTTTATTTTTCTCTCCTTTACTCCCTACTTAACCCTTCTTTATATTATCCATTACCTTATCCTATCCACACTTAACTAAAAATAACATTGAACAAAAATAAAAAACCATTATAGGAATACCGTTAATTAAAACCAATCCATTTTATTGAATTAAATTGGATTACTTTTCCCTATTTAACCCTTCTTTATGTTATCGATTGCCTTATCTTATCCACATTTATTTAGTTCCCTTTTCATGGAAAATAATAATGTTAAAAACATACTAAAAGTAACATCAACGCAAAAATGATAAAAGGCATTATAAGAGTAGAAATAGAAATATAATTATACAACCCTTCTTAATAGGGTAAAAATTACAAATTGAAAATAATTATTCTATACAATTACTAAAAAATGACACAATTCAAAGTCGGAATTGAGGACATAAGGGATTAAAGTATTCAGTTTATAGATCCATTCCATTTCTCGTTTTCCCAAATCCTTTATAAAATCCCCTCATCTCCAATTTTTTTGCACCTTATCTATACCACAGAAAGTTAAGCCTTCTGGTTTCTGGGCATGATGTAATTTAAAATGACTAGACACCCTGTGTTGTTCATAACCTGATTGTATTTTATATATATGCTCCCTAATTCTAACATGTAGGTAGTTCTACCCACATAATTTAACCCACATGGGCAAGTTAGTAAATAAATCACATTCTTAGGATAGCACGTTATAAATGATTTTATTTGAGTTATAACTGTACCATTCAAATCAATGTCCCCTATTTTCCTTCTGGTGCATCCTGATTTCTTGCATGCCGTGCATTGTCCACAGCCAAAGAAACCTTTCTCATTGTTAAATATAGTGGAGGAGTTTTTAATTTCCTTCAGCGAGCTTTTTACTAAAGTATTTTTAAATTTTCTTGCACCACTATACACCATTCTAGGGTTAGTGGGGAGAATTTGTTTTAAAACAGGATCTCGTAATAAAATTGGCCAGTATTTTCTAATAATTCTATTGATTTGATAATTATGAGAATTATAATTGCAGACAAATTGTATTACCTGTTCCTTTGTAATTGCCTTGTTCTTATATGTTAATAGCTCTTTTCTCTCTCTATTCCTTACTTCCTTTCTTGATTCTTCTAATTTATGAATATCATAACCCTTGGCTAGAAAATCAGCTTTTATACGCAGAGACTGTTCATCATAGGTATTGAGATCACTACAATTACGTCTGATTCTCGAGAACTGCCCCTTAGGTGCATTTTCCAGCCAGGGGAAATGATGACAACTAGCCCTCTCTATAAAACTGTTACAATCCACTTTCTTGAAATGATTCTTTGTTTTGATATTCCCTTCTTCTACAAAGATATCTAAATCTAAGAATGTGACTAATTCTTTACTCCATACACTACTCAGTTTGATGCCCCAATCGTTGGTGTTTAAAAATTCCAAAAATAGGATCAAATCTTTCTCTTCACCCCTCCAAATGAACAATATATCATCTATGTAACGGCCATAGAAGACCAAGTTTTCACCCCAGCCATGTCCAGCATAAATGAAAAAATTATCCCAAAATGCCATAAATAAATTGGCATAGCTGGGGGCAAACTTGGTCCCCATGGCCATCCCATTCACCTGCAGAAAATAGGTATCATCATACCAGAAAAAAATATTTTTTAGAATCAGCTCTATCCCTTCTATGATGAACTCAGTTTGTTCTGATCTAAATTCCTTTGATTCCATTAAAAAATGTCTAGCTGCTCTACAGCCATAAAAATGTGGGATATTGCAGTAGAGGGCTGCCACATCACTTGTGACCAAAATACAGTTTTCATCCCAAGTTATATTTTCTAACCTATTTAAGACTGTAATTGTGTCTTTGATATGTGATTTAGTACTCAAAACTAATGGTTGTAATTGTACATCTATATACTGGGATAATCTGCTAGAAACAGAGTCTATCCCTGCTATAATTGGTCTCCCAGGAGGATTCCTCTCATTTTTATGGACTTTGGGCAAGAAATACAACACTGGGATCTTCGGAAATTTAATGTTTAAGAATTGAAATTCTTTTGGACTCAAGATATTATTCTGGAATCCTTTTTCAAAAAATCTTAAAAAGGATGCATTAATATTTTCACTTGGGTTGGTTTTTAATTGTTGATACGTATTTGCATCCTTTAGGATATTTTTTGCTTCTATATCATAGAATTCCCTCGACATCAGGACTATTCCTCCTCCCTTATTGGACGGTTTTATAACTATATTCTTGTCCGTCTGTAGATCTTTTAAAGCTCTTTTCTCTAAAACTGTTAGGTTCTGTCCAAAATTATTTTTAGAGGGGATCTTTTTTATCTCTGTCATAACCATAGTTTCAAATGATATAATTTCATCTGATACCATTTGCTTAGGGTAAAAAGATGATTTGTTCGCTAGGGAGGTATGTTTAAATTCTATGGAATCAGCCTCCTGAACTATTCGTGCTTTGTTTGGTTGGTTGAAGAAAAATTTCTTCAAGCACAAACTACGTTTAAATTTGTTTAAATCTATATACATATCAAAATGATTTAGTCCTATATTTGGGGCAAATTTTAATCCTTTATTCAATACTGCTTTATGATGGTTATCCAAATATTTATTGCTTAAGTTAAAAATACCTTTCGTTAATTCCAATGGTTTAAGTCCCTCCTTTTTGATCTGAATCCTCCTTCCTCCCCTTGTTCCTCTACGCTTGAGACTCTCCTTTTTCTAGGGTTGATATTCATGTCCATTTCTTGTACCTGTTTGTGCCTGTCTTTTAATCCGGATTCCCGAAAAACCTCTTCTTCCTTATAATTTGATAAAATCTCATATTTATTATGGGTGGGGATTCTATCCTTACTGTTCTGTTGCTGATTATGGAATCTGGGTTCCCTGTGATCAGTTGAATATTTTCTATCCCTATAATGTGATTCTTCTCTATTTCTCCCCATATATCTGTAATTTTGATTTCCTCTGTTAGAATTGATTCTCCCTCGCCAATTTTATTTTACTTCATTTGGATGATGTCTTACAGGGTGATTATATCTATGTGGATCTTCTCTAGGGTTCCCATTTTGGGTGTTTTTTCTTTTTCTCTCCAGATAATTTGTTCTTACTTTCCCCGGTGTGGTTGTTCTTTCTCTTATGTGGACCCTATTCTTTTGATCGCATTTGGAAAAAGATCTAACTTGTTTGGATTCATAATCCCCAATGTCTCTACGGTATTTCTTTTTCTTTATTTCTATTATATCCTTTTCTAATCTATCTAAATTATTTTCAATATAACCTGTAATATTCTCAAACTACTCTTCGTTTGAAGAATTTAGTAAAGCATCCTGACATTTATTAATGTCTCTATCTAATTCTTTTAATTTTTCCTTCCTTCTCTTAATAATTAAATGCATGCTGGTAATAGAAAAATCTTCTAGCATGTCGTTCCATTCTGACATAAATTGATCATTGTCCTTATCAAAAGTGGGTGATTTGAAATATCTTAATACCCTAGGGGTAATTTTATCTTGGATATATTTTTCTAAAGTCGCAATCTCCCATTTGATTTTAAGTTCCTTTTCTAGTAATTTTTCTAATTCATAACTGACTTTTGATTTAGTTATTGATGGTTTTACATTAGTTTTATTAGACCAATTAGCTATTTCTTGTTCCATATTAATCCCAGTATTTTTCCTTTTGTCAAACAGAGACATTATTACCGAGCATTTACCCGCCGATTTGAGAGGATTTAAAACCGACGAGGAGACTTTGTGGAAACTTACCATTTTTATCCGGCTGAGGAAGCCAATTCAATTTGGCAAAACGCGTACCGGTCTTTTACAGCCGATATAGGCATTTTGGAAATTTTGTATGTATATGTAATAAATGGTTTCTTTTATTTTTATACCATTTGGTTCCAGTTTTTTATGTTTATGACTCCAACATTGTGAGAATTAATTTTGGAATTTAATATCCTTAAAATTATATGCAAACGATACTGCGCCATTGGTGGTCCCCCTGTTGTGTTTTTTAGGATTAAAAGGAAAACATCACTTATAGGGGTGGATCGCCTAAACGGATCCAAAGTTGTTTTAACCTGGAGGAAAAATAATAATTGTTTTTGACACAAATAGCAATTTAAGAAAACATGTACTGAGAAATTTAAGGGTTACTGCCAAAGAACACCCCAATATGTGTTCAGCAACATTTCCCAAGTACAATGATACCACCCATGTATAGGTGTGTCGGGTTCTCTGGGGGCTAAAAGACCTTATTTGGAGGGTGTGCATTCCAGTTTTCCAAGTTGGAGTTTTCACAGCTGGTGATCAGGCACCCATGTCCTATTTGGGACATTTTTGAAGCTGGCCAATGTAATTTACCCCCATCAAACCATATATTTTTTAGTAGCCACTTAATCACAAACCCTGGCCAAAATTTGCGTTTATATTTGTTTTTTTGCATTTTTCACGCATAAACTGCCATTTCACTGATGATATTATTAGTATAATACATTTTACTGCTTTAAAGCACTCATATTTGTGTAGAGTAATGTCTCACGAGTACAACTGTACCCCTAAGGTAACAGGTTTTATGGTGATTTGGAAAGTTACAGGGTCAAACATAAGATTTGCCAATTTCTGTTTTTGAAAATTGCTATTTGCCAGATTGGCTATGTTGCCTTTGAGACGGTATGGCAGCCCAGAAATGAAAATTAACCCCACCATGACATACCATATGAAAAAGTAGACAACCCAGGGTATTAAAAATGGGGTATGTCCAGTCTTTTGTAGTAGCCACTTGGCCATAAAACTTGCCAAAGTTAGCATTCATATTTGTTTTTTTGCATTTCTTTACACAAAAACTGCACTTTTACTGGTGATCTAATCGTTCTGGTGGTGGTGACCACAGACCACTTCTCAGTTCCTATGCTTCATGGCTGATGTTTTGGTCACTTTTGAATGCTGGCGGTGCTTTCACTCTAGTGGTAGTATGAGACAGAGTCTACAACCCACACAAGTGGCTCAGGTAGTGCAGCTCATCCAGGATGGCACATCAATGCGAGCTGTGGCAAGAAGGTTTGCTGTGTCTGCCAGCGTAGTTTCCAGAGCATGGAGGCGCTACCAGGAGACAGGCCAGTACATCAGGAGACGTGGAGGAGGCCGTAGGAGGGCAACAACCCAACAGCAGGACCGCTACCTCTGCCTTTGTGCAAGGAGAAACAGGAGGAGCCCAGCAAAATGACCTCCAACAGGCCACAAATGTGCATGTGTCTGCTCAAACGGTCAGAAACAGACTCCATGAGGGTGGCATGAGGGCCCAACGTCCACAGGTGGGGGTTATGCTTACAGCCCAACACCATGCAGGACGTTTGGCATTTGCCAGAGAACACCAAGATTGGCAAATTCGCCACTGGTGCCCTGTGCTCTTCACGGATGAAAGCAGATTCACACTGAGCACATGTGACAGAAGTCTGGAGATGCCATGGAGAACGTTCTGCTGCCTGCAACATCCTCCATCATGACCAGTTTGACAGTGGGTCAGTAATGGTGTTTGGTGGCAATTCTATGGGGGCGCAACAGCCTTCCATGTGCTCGCCAGAGGTAGCCTGACTGCCATTAGGTACCGAGATGAGATCCTCAGACCCCCTGTGAGACCACATGCTGGTGCGGTTGGCCCTGGGTTCCTCCTAATGCAAGACAATGCCAGACCTCATGTGGCTGGAGTGTGTCAGCAGTTCCTGCAAGACGAAGGCATTGATGCTATGGACTGGCCCGCCCGAGACCTGAATCCAATTGAGCACATCTGGGGCATCATGTCTCGCTCCATCCACCAACGTCACGTTGCACCACAGACTGTCCAGGAGTTGGCAGATGCTTTAGTCCAGGTCTGGGAGGAGATCCCTCAGGAGACCATCCGCCACCTCATCAGGAGGCCATGCACACTACCGAGCCTCATTTTTACTTGTTTTAAGAACATTACATCAAAGTTGGATCAGCCTGTAGTGTGTTTTTCCACTTTAATTGACTCAATATCCAGACCTCCATGGGTTGAAAAATTTGATTTCCATTTTTTTATTTTTGTGTTATTTTGTTGTCAGCACATTCAACTATGTAAAGAACAAAGTATTTCAGAAGAATATTTAATTCATTCAGATCTAGGATGTGTTATTTTTGTGTTTCCATAATTTTTTTGAGCAGTGTATACACACACACACACACATATAATAATACATGTGTGTGTATATGCATATATATATATATATACAAAGAAGGGACCTATCTGCTGATGCAACTTGAGCTAGACTTATAGCTCAAGAAAATGTGAGTGGTCCCTTATTGATTCTGCACTTTATACTTGTTCTTAAGATTTCACACTATTGGATCCTATATATTTCTTATAGGTATTTTGTCAAAGATATAATAACTACAACTAAATATTGTTTAAAGGTATTAGTTCTTATTTTTGTTCATATATAGTGCTACACCATACTGGCTATTTGTATGTTCGTTTTGTGTATTTGGAGAGACTACACTTGATGGTTTGGCAGCTTTTTAAAAGATTTTTGTATCTGCATTTGCACTGTTACAAATATATATGAATTAGCGCCGGTATACTATATTCTTTTTCTAATATGTCAGTAAAAGTTTGTATGTCTATCTATGCACTACAAAAATACAGATTTTTTTTAAAAAAAAGGGGGAATGCACAAATCCTCGACTGTTTACAGGCAATGAGGGCTGGTTTGGGAACTGCTGTTCTTGGTGCTTAGTGTCATTTTAAGGGACAGCATAGTTTGCTTTATTTAAAAACTACATTCAATAAATATTACGACAATTATCTTTCAGTGTGCCCTTTTATGTTGTTATCACTTTGGAAAAATACAAATACTGTCAGACGTTATCTCTTCTGGATAACGAGATCTTATTCTATCTGGGTCAATGGTATCACATTGAGATTAGACAGTTACATGTAGTGGCAAAATTGGAGAAAAGTTTGCCTGCAGTTGTGTGAAATGTGTTTCATATAATCACGTGAGGTTCATCATACGTAGGGTACTTGGAATTTATATGTATTCTTGAGAATAACGCAGTTTGTGATTAGCGGAACTGCTGTATCATGCAGCTGGCTTTGCAGGAAACTCAGCAAATACGTAGCAAATAAAAAGCACTACAAAGAACCCTCAGAACTAAGAGGGTACGTCCTAACAGCCCCGTACTAAACCGGAAAAAACTAACTGGTTACATACAAGGCCATTCAGATTGCAAAATCAGGACATTTTGCAGGGATGAGACAGAATTGTGTCCTTCAGCCTTACTAAAATATTTATTGTAAATAATTTACCATTAATATAAAGTGCATTACATGTGCAACCAAATTAGACCAGGTTATAAAACAGAAAAAATACAATTTATGGCGCTAAAATGAATAGCAGCTAGAACACACTAGTGGGTACAATCACAATAATCCCACAAAAACAACAGTGTACAAAACAGAAAAAGTGTGCAGCGCATGAACCAAACCCACAAATCTTATAGGAGTATAAGCACAATCAGTACATAAAAATACAAAGAGAGATAAATACCCCAGTATTTTAAGATCTTTAAGGGTCATACGTTTTGGTCAGATCCCATATAGAAACTGGTTCAAGTAGTATCACTTTAAAATGTCTCAGGTCAAATCTTGAAGTTACTCCCAGGGATGTAGCTTGATCCTCAGAATATGGAAATGGTTGGACAAGCAAACATCAAATTAAAAGAATATAAAAAGCACATTTATTATAAGTAAATAACAACCTTACATTGAGGTCTTGTAAAATCAGCAAAGAAATGACAGCATAAATAGCAGCACAACGCGTTTCAACGATCAATCTCGTCTTCCTCAGGTGCAGTTCACATTGTTACATAAAATTCATACATTTAAAAGCCTTTTGGCGCGGAAAATCGGGTATTTAAGACCCGCCCCCTTTGCCATCGGACCAATCAGCAAAGACTAAATGGTTTCCTCTTCACAGTCTGTGATTTCCGGATCTATGCGTTCCATTCCTTTTACTTCCGGTATCGCATGCGTTCCAATATGCGTTTCACAGGGGGCACTTCCGGTTTCGCTTGCGGTCCGGTTTACCCAGCGAAAAAATTCTATATCAAGTTCATATGGCTACTAAACCTCAAGTCCACATAAAAATAATGTACATGTGTACATAGGTGCTCATATATATGTGTACAAAACATGTACATAGAAAACAGGGAAATAAAATAGAAAGCCAAAAGTTAATAATAGCCACAAATAACTCATTATATCTATATATACAGATACATAATAAAAGAGTGAGGTGGAACCAATAAGAGTGTGTTCACCAGGTGTGTAGAGAATTAGATATAATTGTACATTTCAAAATCAATGTTTAAACCACATGGAGAGAGGGGTTCCAGCTCAAAGATCCATTTCATTTCTGTTCTATTCAGGATCTTGAGGTG